CAAATGGAGTCAAAACCCCATTGTTTAGCTAGAAAGTTTCTTAAGGAGGTGTCTTTTAAATTGGTTTCTTGTAGTAAGATTATGTCTAAATTGTATGATTTTAGTAGAGTAAAAGTTTTTTGTGCTTTAGGCTTGTTGTTTAAGCCCTTTACATTCAATATAGCGATTTTGATTATTAGTTAAATTGAGAATTGATTGAAGCTACACTGGACTTTATTAGTCTTGTGTTAAACTTTTTGTAGATGGCTCGGTAGGGAGCTTTCTTCATTCTTGTAGAAGTGACTTATTCTTGCTTGTTTTTTTCTTTTGCCTTTAGTTTTTTGTTTTCTATAGGTAACTGTAGTGAAAGGTGTTTCTTCTGTATTGTTTTTGATGTTAGCTAAGCTGACTGTTGGCTTAGCTCCTTCTGTTTCCATTTTGTTTGATTCATTAATATCTGCCATAGCAGTAATAGGATCAGATTCTTCAATGTTTTCTGTTTCTGAAAGTGTATCTTTTAGTGTCATTGCTTCATTATCAGAAATAAAATCTGAAGTTGTGTCTTTTGCATTTGTTAAGTTCTCTGTTTGTTTCTCAACTTTAGAGATATTGATGTAGGAGTTGTTATGGCTAAAGCTTGTTTCTGGAGATAAGATGTTTTGAGTTCTGATTTTTTTTCTATACTCTTTGGTTTCTTTTAATTGCTGTCTGATCTCGATTGAAGCTTTCAGTTCTTTGCAGTCTCTCTTGAAATGACCCTCCTTTTCACAATAAAAACAGATTTTTGGTGCTTCCTTTCATTCAGTTGTTATTTTGTGATTACCAATATGGGTACTTCGAGGTATTCTAGTTGGTATCTCGGGGTCCTCTGTGGTTTCAAATGTAACTAACCATTGGTCTAAACAAACTGTAGTACCTTCATAAAGTAGAGGCTTAATTGATGCAATTTGTCCTATATTTCGAAAAGCCTCAAGAACTTGGTGGCTGATCATTTTGGTGTTTCCCATAGGCATATTTCTAAGTTTAACTGTAAGAAAAGATCAATTTAGGTTAATTGGAATATACTCAAAAAGAGCTTGTTTAAAGAGGGAGATTCTATTAGTTGTGTAAAGCTGAACTGCTTCTTTATTTTTAAGAAACACTTCAAAAAATGACTGTTTTCCTCTAGACATATGTAGTTTGGCTGCTACAAGGTCTTCATCCAAACTAGCAGCTAGAGCTGTAATTATGTCATTAGTAGGAATATTGTTTAAGCTTTGGATGTTTAGTATAAGAGCATTTTCATTTTTAGAGCATATTTTTTGGCTAGGAGAGGAGTTTGTAAAAATAGCTTTTCCTTCCTTAAGTCTTGTAAATAGCTTGGACTATTGTTTTGGTCTTGTGCTATTATTTGTTGTATCTTTGTTTAGTGTATTCTTCTTTTCATGATTTTCTGAAGATGTAATTGGTTGCTGACTGGTGAGGTTCTCATGGTTGATTGCTGTACTGGTGCTCACGTGTTTCTGTTTATCAAATTTTGACACATCCTTTTGGTTGTTTGGCTTAGGCACATGCTTCTGGTTTGGTGTGTTTTTTTTTTTTGTCTTTTTTGTTCATTGTTGTTTTCTCTGTATTTGTTATTATTATTTTTTTTTTAGCTTCTAGTTCATTTTCTGTTTGACTGGCCCAGTCTGAGCTAGTTTCATTTGTTGCTACAATTGTTTCTATATTTGTGTCCTGTTGGAAGTTTGTGATGTTGCTTGTTTTCAAAGCTGCGATATTTTCTTTATTTTCTTTGTTTTCTTCAACTTTTGAAAGTTTAAAGACTCTTTCCTTGTCTGTTTCTGTTCTGACCTTCTTGTATAAAAGTCTGCTCTAGTGATACAAATCGACAAAAATTTTTCAATTGATTAGTTGATAGATTATTTTATCTAATTATTCGGTTATTTAATTTTTTTCAACTAATCGATTAGTCGATTAGTCGATCAATCAATTAATCGACTAGTTGATCAATCAATTAATTGATTGGTCATCTGATTGGATAATTAATTAACATATTAAAAAAAAAATTTTTGATTTTGAATTTCGAATTTAAAATTTTATTTTTATTAAAAATTTTGAAGTTACTTTTAAGTCAATAGAGCTTTTAGATTGATAGCAATATAAAAACATGTAACTTAATTCAAACTAAACAGAAATATTTATTACTAAAGCTGAAGGTTTAATGTTTTAAGCTTTATGTAATTCTATATATTTCTATAGCTATATTACTTTCTGCCTTTCTAATATATAAATATATGTATAATAATATTCAATAAAAGGATGATAAAAAAATATCTATTATATATATTAAAAAAAACTTTTTCAACTGAGAAATTTTTTTTTTAATCTATTACACTACTAATAATTTTCTGTTTTACTTATTTAATAGGGGAAAATTTCTACATATATTAAATTTTGTTTTAAAAACAATAATTTGTCTACAAAATGTGGATCTAATCGATTTTGTTTTGAAGTAACATGGTTGCCAGCATCTGAAAACAACCATTCAGAGGGAATGGAAGTGGCAGAAATCGCAAGATACTTTCTTGCAAGAATGGAAAGAATAGGAAATTGATTTTTTTGCTTACTCCACCAATCTAGCAGATCATTGATCTGCCTCAGGAATTGAAAGATACTTATCAATTTCATTTTGATTAATAGATTCATCATCATCATTTCAAATTGATGAAAAAAAACTTTTCATAGCAGATTTTTTTTTTGTTGTTTGTTCTGTTGAACTTGAATTAGTAGTTGTTGTTTGATTAACTTGTCTATTTACTTGCCTACTAAGCTCATTAAATTGATAATATAAATATAAACCAGTTATACACATCAAATTAATTTTGGTTATACTTACATTAGAACAAAAAGATAATCTTTTAAACCTGGGATCAAGCAAGAATGCATATAATTTGTATTTAGATGGTGATGACCAATGACTTATTAAATTATTAAGGATGGTATTTTTCACTTCATTTATAATATCAAATTCATTATTCATATTATTCAAATGATTAATTAACTCTTCTATTGTTGGTACCATAATACTCAAAGTAGTGTAATTAGAACCAGAAAGAAACTCTATAGCTTTGTGAAATAGATGCAAAAGGTCAATAAAATCACGTATAATTTGAAACTCATTATTAGAAAGTAACTTTTCTCGAATATTACTACCATCATGCTGATGCTCAATATTTGTAGAATTTTCAAAATCATTAACTAACCACCTAATTGACCTTTCAAGTTTTGTAAGTCTTTTTAGTGCTATATATGTGGAATTCCACTAAGTATCCATATCTTGAATTACATTAATAGTTTCTGTTTTTTTTTTGTCAGTACTAATTTGTGCCTCTCGTAATTGTTTACATTTTTTTTCTCTACTCAAAAGTCTAATTAATGCTTTACATTTTATAATTAGATCATGTACTTTATCTAAGCCCACATTAACACTTAATTGTAATGTATGTGCTGCACAAAAAATATTAACAACAGGCTTGGGTGGTGAAATTTTAGTTGGAAGTTGTGTGACAGCTGCCTTAACATTCGAACCATTATCTGTCATGATACTTACTAGTTTACTTCTACTAATGCCAAATTCTTCCAATACAGGTTCAATTGTACTAACAATGTTACTA